AAGTTTCAAACCTCATAGAAATTTATCCATCATCTCTACCTTTGAAACATTATCAATTTAGAGATATAAAGACTTGAATCAAGAGACATAATCTTGCATCGACTTAGATTTTATAAGATTTGCTAATTGATCATGTTCTTGTATTACGTATTGTCTTATTTAGGAATGCACTAGGCACCTAGTTGTAAAAGGTGAGGTTGTGTTTCACAAGTATCCAAGAAACCTTAATAGGTTTCATCCATATGAGAAGAATATAATCCAAATTTTAATTCAAAAGTACTAAAAAATACTCTTTTTAATAGCCTCAATGACACATAAACCTCAATTACCTTGTTACTTTCATATTTAAGTAATTTAGATTTTTCTTATAAGCTCCAATCCTAATTAGTGAGCTTTAATAAGCTATAACTTCTAATCCAACTATTCACTTGATATAAAATTTTGCATGCAATTGTCAATTTAAGTCTTTGATATGCTCAAGAATTTTCAACCCAATCCAACTTGCAAATTGTAAAAAAACCTCCAAAAATTGCTCTGATATCACTTAGCTGCCAACTTGAAAAATAAAGTAAAAATCCCAACAGTGATTTTTTCTTTTCCAATCATTAACTTTGACTCAAAATTAGTATGCAGCTTGATATTCAAGTCCTTCAATACCATGCCAAATTTCACCATGATCCAACAAGTAGATCTCTAGATATCACAAAAATCCTATCCAACCCCAAACTGCCAACTTTTGAAACTCTCTTGTGCTAAAAACCAGATATCTCTAAACTGCACTATTAGATTATCACAAAATTTTGTATAAAATTAGCACACCTAATAATCCAAATAATTTTAAATTTTGATCTATAGATGTTACACCAATTGCACGAACTTACCAAAATTGTTAGCTCTAATTATATTATATAAAATCCAAATCATCAATACAAATCCTAATCTTAAACAATAATTTTTAAGACTTCAAAATCCTACCAAAAAAATCCTTATGCTTTTAGAAAGAGCATCAAGCTAGCTCTCAAATCCTAATCTCCGATCTTCAAATAATCCCTAATTTACCCTGGGCAGTCATTTTAGTGACTAGATGTCTCACTTTGATCCTTTCTCACAAACAATTGACCCCCGAATATCAATCTAATCTATTTTAAGTATTTTTTAGTCCAATCCTATCCATGACTTGATCCTAGTATCAACCATACCAACCATTTATCTCTTCTATCTTGATTTTATCAATTTATGGCCTTTTTAAGGCACTAAAAATGTTTCTATATCTTAGAAGGTAAAAATACTAACTAACTTTTATCTACTTGCTATTAAGACAAGAAAATAGGATAAGAGGCTTTCATAAAAGCCTTATTAAAATATTTTGAATTCTTTTTGAACTAATATAATAGAATATTAATTTAAAAAAATATTTTTAGTCTTATTTTTACCATATAATCATATCATAACACAGCAACATATTATTTTTTCTGCATTGATGGACCAAAATTGATTCCTAAACTAGGTCTCAAATTCCTTCCAATCCCAAAATCTACCTTGAGCTCCATAGCTTTGAACTTGATATTACTACCAAATAGTTATCATATCTTTCAAATAGCTAGCTACATATATAATTCCTTTAGTGATATTTGTCTTAGATAATTGGAAGTATTGTTGCATGTTGAAAAGCCATTGACATACATCTTCTTGCCTTGAAGTCCCATAGTATGTACTAAAATTATTCAATTATATCCTAGCAGATGTTGGCTTTCTTCTCCTAGAAGCTTTTATTTGTCCTTTCAAAGTAGCTATCTAGTCTAAGAGGTGTTGTATTTGAATTCCATCTAGAATTGCTCTACCATATCTCTTATGCTATAATTCTCTTAGTGGACTCCACTATTGTAATACCTTCTCACCTTTTGGTTGAATTTTTAAGAGTAGCTTGTAGTAGTCTCAATACAATACTCAATGTAATGACAACAATTAACTTCAATTAGATGATGGCTATCAACACACTACTAAAGAATAGACAAACACTTGCTCTAATACTAATAAAACATAACTAGTGTATCTCAAGAGTCTAAGAGCCTTCTAATCTACAACAATATAAATCTCATTACAAAGTAGGAGAAAATAGATATAAAAAAAAATTTAAAAATTAAACAAAATAGGATAAAAAAGACAAAATTAAATAAATAAAAATAAAATAGAAGTGAATTAAATAGAAAAATGTAAAACTAAACTTTATTAAAAAAAAAAAGTCCAAAGCTATACTTGACCAGATGTCCAAAAGGTCATAATCAGTCTTATTTATACTTTATCCAATCATCTTAGAACTTTTTAGAATATTCCTAATAATAGATTATACTTAGATAATTATCCCAAATTCTTTTTAGAAGGTTCCATAATGGGTCTTATCTAAATAACTGTCCTAAGTCCTTACTAAAATGTTCCATGGTAGGTTCCACCTAAATAACTATCCTAAGCTCTTTCTAAAATATTCCATGGTAGATTCTATATAGTCTACTAATTTAGTGCCAATTCTAGAAACTTTTATAAACTACTCAAGCATGATTCTAACTATCTATCTTTATGTGTCAACAATACAAATATCTTATCTATACCACATTTTATTTAATGTCAATATCTTTCTTTTGTATTGTTCATATGCATTTAAAAAAAAATTACTTATGTTAAAAATCAAATATTTTATTTATCTACTATATTTTTACTATAATCTAATTAGCAAATTAAATCAAAGCCTAAAAAATCTTATTGGTTTAATTTGAAATTTAAATTTTAAGACTTTAATTCACTTAAAATTTTAAATTTTTTATTATTATTTTATCAAGCTCAAATTTATATTACATACTTAATACAACTATATTTATATATCTATAAATATTCACTTATAAATTTTCTATAAATTTCATAATTTTTTAAAAATATATATGTTTTTTTATTTTAAAAAAATTAAAACTATCCAAATCAATCTTGTCTTTGAAAATCTCTTCTAAACTTATCACAAATTTAAATCTCTCAAAATTGACACTCAAATAAATTTTTTTAAGTTTTATCTTAAATTTTACTATCTAGTGAACAAAAGAACTCCAAAATTTACATTAGTGCATGGTTTTGTGCCTCAAGGTTTTATTTTGACCTTAATTTGCAACTAATCCTCTTTGAATATCAATATCTAGTTTTTTTAGGAAATTTTTTCCAAAAAATACTACTCATTATTACTTCAAAAATTTCATAATATTCAATTTTTTTTATTTTTTTTATTTTATCTTATTTATGATCTTACAAAATAAATATAATTCTTTTTTATAAAATATAACATAATCTTTTACTAGTTTTACTACCTCTTTAACTATTATCTATATTTTAAAGATAATTTGTTATTATATTTTAAAATAAGATCTTCTATAATATAATGATTTTTTCTCTCTTTGATTTATTAGTTGTATTATATCACAACAACATTATAAACAAGACCAATTATCAAATTTGGAAGTTTTTTGATACATGATATATAGAATTTACCTTTAAAAGATAAGATATTTTAAGAAAATGATGTATTTTTAATTAATCTTACAAATAGTCCAAATGTAATAATTATGATTTTATATTTAAATACATGTAGACTATGAGATGGATTGTTAAAAAAAATATCTACATTTGTTAGATTTATTACCAAACACATATGAAGATAGTAGCTTCTTTAGCTAAAAAGAAGATGCTCTTAATAATGATCAAAGTAATAGATCAAATGATGGTCCAAGCAATAGAGAAGATAGTAGAGTTAAGATTCTTAGACATGATGTTTAAGTCTATAGATTATTTAAAATAATTAATTTAAAGAAATCAAATAAGATGGAGGCCTTGACTATGGAACAATACAATGTGTTCAATAAAGTAATGGAATCAATCTTGGCTCTTTTAGGAGATAGATGGAATTTATTACTAACGCCTCAACAAATCTTCATGCCAAGACAAGGTGGAAGTATCACCCCTATACAAGTTCATATTATAAATATTTAACTTGGATTTAGAAGCCAAAAAAATAAATAAACTACAAAAATAAAATAAAATAGACAAGCATATGGTAGAACAATCTAATGGTACTAAGACCTAGTAGGTTCAAAATTTTACAACAAAGACAAGTTATTCAACAAAAGTGTACTTGAGTAAGACTACCTAAGTTGTACAAAGTTGTGCAAAAATTACTATAAATATATTTATAATGATCTAATACATTTTTTATTAGACATCAAAACTAAGTACAAAAATTGCCAATATATAATTATAAAAAAAAATAACAATATTATACTAAATAAAGAGGGATGCAATGTTGATAAAGATGTGGAGTTTTTCTTTAAAGATTTAAGCTTGAGCTACCTTACAAATTTAGTTTTGATTCACTCGAGTCCAGAAACCTTTTGTGCTCCTCCTATCCATCTCAACTACTTACGGACCAATTCACAAGGCTTACAGGTTTCCACTTGCTTTGATCCTCATCAAGTGTTATGGTTTTGGGAGTTTTCAAGGTATAATGCTTTTATGGTTTTGATTTGCAGGGAAAAGATGTCTGAAACGGCACATGAAAAAGTTATTTCTTGTTTTACAACGTTGTTACTAAACAGATAGTATTTTGTAAAACGATCCGACTTTAATATACGAAATATTATTCTTGCATATAATCACAAACATATGTGTGGAAAATGTGACTGGATTTAGATTATCTTCAAACACATTGTCATGTGCAAATATCTTAACTAACAATACATTCGTGATTGTTCTATGCTTAACATGAAAATTTCTAAGAAAATTAAAATTTCTTTTTATCTCGGTGAAACCTGAACAGATGTTTGTAAAGAGAGTGGCAATCCTCGTGGAAGTGTGAGACAAGCCATGAAAACTATTGGAATTATATGGATTAGACAACAGTAGAGATGCTTGGGCTTGTGGAGCTTTCACGGCTAGAGATGATCTGGTTTGAACAAACGGAGTCTTTATTTCTCGGTAATAATATCATGCAACTTGGTACATGGCCGATCTAGAAAATCCGCCACCTACTGCCTTCATCGGTGGAGGTTTAGCACATTCCCTCATCTACTCTGGAGCAATCGGATGGGTCCGAAAATCTACGAAATGCCGGGATCAGTTGGCCCTTGGATCTGTCTTCAGACGGTTTGGCAAGATTGCAAGTCGATTCAGTTTTATGTGCAGCAGAAGTCATATGGATTCATCGTCCTGCATCGAACTAGATGGTGGTATCTCTGACCTGAGAGCGGTCGGACACCGAGAAGTGGATTGCCAGTAACAGTCACGGAAATGTAAAAATGACTATGCTAGCCATCCAAGCTCACAGATCAATGACTGATAGAAGCGCTTGGCTCCTCGATTCTCAACCCCAGTAGTTTGATCAGCAACGAGATGCGAAAAACATCGGCGACGAGGAGTTCAGTCATCATCTAGGCCGGCAAGGCCTCCGCCGCCTGCAGTTAGACCTCGGATTTGCTGTCGCTGGGGTTGTACCGTAATCGTTCAGTTCACGGCGTGCAAATGCTTCGATGCTTGACTCAGAAAAAATAGTCTCGGCCAATGTGGCCTCTTTGCCCGTCGCAACATCGCCTCTGCGGAAGAAAGCTTTCTTCAAATTATCTGCGCGCACATAATCCAAAATTGACTCACTCAGAACCAACGCACAGTAATGACTTCAACCTGAGCAGTAAACTAGGACGACAGGGGCCACATCTATCACGAATCTGCTTCTCTTCACCACAATCAGATCAAGCAAACAATGAACAAAAATCGCAGCCCAGGGTGAAAATAAAATAAAACGACCTACACTGCACAACACTGACCTCAAAGGTCGTCGACATTAAAATGCAAGCTGATTAAGGGTATGTGCGATGAGACCTAGCGCAGAAGTACCCGTAACGTGTAAAAATGCGGGAGACTACCAAACATATCTATACGAACACAGTGCGACCACCAAATTACCTGGAATGTCTGTTTGCATTTTAATATGGTCGTGGGCAGCGATCACATCCGCCAGGACTAGCATCAGCACAAAGCAGCAAACACACCCCAGCAGTGAACCGCGTCCAGAAGGCGCCATATCCTACTCCGCTTCGCCAGTACTCAATAAACCCTTTGACGTTAAACCCCGGAGCGGAAGATCTGCCGAAATGGTCACGATCGACGAGCGGTCATTACTTGCCAGCCACCTCCTCGTCGGTTAGGTTCTAACTTAACCCCATTTGACTTCTCTTAAATACCACAGCCACCTATCCCTGAAATACACACCGCTTCGGCGGCCACTCTCCCAGGGAGCTGGTTCAGCATCCCCTGACGAACTTTGCGGGGAACTCTGCCAACTTCTGCCTGTCCAGGCACTTTCATCCTCACTGCCAACGCCGTCCGCCGTCCTTCAACTCCTTCTCAGCACGGCTAAAATCCCTTACATGCTTCGTTATACTTTTTGCATCATGTGTGCTTGTGTGCTTTTGAGCATGTGGTATTTCTGCTTCTTATCACCCTCCGATTCGTGTCAATATGAGAGCCTGTGCTTGCGTGCTCTGTTGCATGAACTCATGAAGCCCATATGCCATCTTGATGCAGCTGATGGGCGGTGGCTGGGGACGAATGCTCATGGACGAACACAAGTGGTCACAGATCCCCGCAAAGTTAGATTAGAAATTTAATCAGTCCCCTCCCCCACCAGGTTATCGTTCCCGATCATTTCGGATACACTTGTTGCTGTGAGACTCCGAGGTGGGAGCAGAAAAGATGCCACTGAGTTGTTAAGAATTAGGCGAAGGCGGAGAATTAATATCCTGACACTAAAATAAGTTACGGCTAATTTCAGAGAATTCTCAGACCGGCTTCATGTGTATTGCAGCGATGTGCCACCTGCGACAAGCACAATTCAGAATTGTTCGGGGAGTGTCAGTTGCAATGCAACAAGGAGCTCAAATGCAGTGGTAGGAAACTGATCAACCCAGGCTGAGACGCTGCAAGTCCTCGAGGAACAGCACCCTGAATCAGTTTTCAACTCAAAAAAGGCGACCCCAGTTGAACTCTCCTCGCAGCTCTCTCTCGTTGTTACGTTGGATTCCTTATCAGAGACAATGGACAAGAACAATTTATTCATGCTCAACTTACAGAAATATGTAAGCGTAGTAATGTGTGCAGAAAAGGTTCCCAATTGGTACCCGCTTGTATCCACTAGTACAATGGGGGGACATCATTAGCGTACATTCATTCAATTTTTAGGTGTGGATATTCGATTGGCACACTGAAAATGAGCATATATCCGGATTTGTCTTAAAAAGACGCAGTTTACATGGATTACAATAGAAAAAGTGAGCTATAGAAGAAATGTTGGTACTAGGGAATAAACCTAAGACCTTGTGTCTCACACCACACTTCCCTGCCATGATCTGTTACTACCTCCACAGCTTTTTGTTCATGCCCTCACTGAAAGATACAAACAATTAGGAGACTGTCTTTGTTTGTTGTCAAATGTCACTTTAAAAATGATCACGTATGAGGTACTGGTTATCCTCATTTTACTTGGAACAAGCTCAACATATGTCTAGTCAAAGTATTTCTCGATTTAAGGGCCCCTCAGACGAAGAATTGAGCTATGCTGAAAGATATACGAGAAAAAGTTGCTGACTCTCTTGTTTTAGAAAAACAATTATCTTGATCAAAAGCCTTTCGGATATCAGACATAAGGAAATACTATCCTTCAATTTACAACAATTAAGTAAAAGATTTTGCATATTTTAAAATTTGGTTTTTTAGACTGAATCCCTTCAAGATATGAAAGTAAACTATATACATCTATAAAATAATTGATTAAAAAATATATTAATAAAATTAAGATTATAATAATATAAAATTATAAAATATTCAATTCATATAATAAAATTTTGAATACCTAGTTTATCTTCAAATTTAACTCTAAAATTTATTTTTAAATTTCTTATATATAATTTATAATATTTTATTTATCTTTAAAAATAGAATTTATTCTTCAACTTAAATTACAGTATTAGCCTTATTTAAGAGTTTTTTTTATAATTAATGATGTGGTTTGTAAACTCTACTAATATATTCTAATTAATAAATTTATTTTCTATAAAATCAATGTTATTTAAATGATAAAATATCTTAAATAATTTTTTATACTTGTACTTTTTATTAAATTTGTAGTAATTTTAAGATCAATATCTTAAATAATTTTTCATACCTGTACTTTTTATTAAAATTTTATACTTAACATTCAATCGATAAAAAAGTATAAAATTTAAAAAGTGATAATGACTATTTAGTAATTTTTGCCAAAAATAAGATTTTGTATTGATTTAAATTTAAATTTTTGCAACAAAAATTACTAAGATGTAATAAAGCATGTTTAACTTGATATAAATATATTTAAATCATTAGAATAAAATTTCAAAAAAAAATTAAAATATATTTAGTGATTTTAAAAATAAAATTTGAATATTATTATAATAATTTATCTACCAACTTTTAGAGATTGTTATAAAGTGTTGGAGTAAGATTTAAAGGATTTATAAGGTTTTTTTATATATATATATATATATAATTAGATGATTATGCATACCATTGTCATATTAAATTTTTAAGAAAAATAATTTTATTATAAAAAAGCCTAAATGATTTAAATTTATTCTTAAAAATTTAAGACTAAGAACAAGAAAGGTATTCATAAGAATGAAGAAGGATTCACTCTTGCCTCCATATATAATATCTAAGTAAGAGCTATGTGACAACATTTCATAAGATCTTTAATATATGTTTAACTTGAAAGACAAGTTTCTTAAATGTGCAACACATAGCCAATTTGTTTGTCAAGTTTTTAACTTATCAATTATCCAAAAATACATATAAAGTCAAATCCACATTGATGTAGCTTTTAAGAAGCTTCTTTATAAGATACTATTAAATTTACCTATTTTTACTTACTTCTACCTAACTCTTTTTATCTAAGTATTTATAAGTTTCAATTATGTCCATGACAACAAGACTTTTTGGAATTACTTATAAAATTGATCTACTTATTTTTTAAAACTAAAAAACTTCTTAAAATAAACATTGAATATATTGGTTGATTTCTTTTAGAAGTATAGAAATAATATTTATATAGTTGACATTGATAATATATAAAATTTATACCCTAATAGTTTTGATAAGCATATGAAGATTTGCAATAGTTGCAAATCTATTCTTACTTCTAATAAGTGTAGCATCCAAATTATAAGATAAAAATTAAAATGACTATTGTCAAATATAAAAAGACTATTATTAGATTAATTAATATATATTAATAAATATAAAAATATCTTTAGGTAGTTACAAAGTAGTTATGGAGAAATTACAACTACTTCTCTTCACAAGATAATATAAAAGGCTCTTGTAAATATGATGTAATCAAGTTATTTCATTAATATACTTCATACTTTATATTATTTTTATTTCTACTTTTTATTTATACTCAAGAAAATGAAGGACAATTAGTGCTTTGATATCATATAAGAGAAAGAATTCCACCTACTATGATTTTTTATAGTTCTTCTTATACTCCATTAATATCTTTTTTTTCTACAAATAATTATTGTATTTAGAATATTAAATTGGAGGCTTTTTTAAATCAAGTAGAATTATGGAAGGTAGTTAATGGCTTTGAGATTGCATTCAATACATTTAATTTGGTCCAACATCATACTTGGAGTTTGAAGGATATCAAAGCTCGTGCAAAAATACTTCTACATTGTAGAAATATGCAACTTATAACAGTATACAAACTACCTATATCAAAGATAGTTTAAAATTACGTTAAGTATATTTATAAAAAATCAAAAAAAGCTTCTCAAGTACATTTCTACAATAAATTTTTTTATTTAATAATAGACGAAAATAAAGATGTTGATGCATTCATAGAAAATTGATAGTATATCCTTGAAGAAGCTATCCTTGCTAGTTGTGTTTTTACTAAATTGCAATAAGTCAATCTATTATTAACTATTCTTCTTGATTCATGGAGTATATTTATTACTATCAAAGATAAAATTAATGATTTAATATTTTTAATGTTATAATCTAATATATTATAAGAAATAACAATCAATTATTTAAAACATGGGAATTCTAGAATTAGTGCTTTTTATGTAAAAGATTTTTTTTTAAAAAAAATAATAGATCCTTATATAGTCCAACATCAAGTAGTAATCCTTCTTGAAAATATTATTTTAAATTATCTTATATTTAATATTCCAATCTACAAACTAAAAATATCATCTATCAAATTTGTAAAATATCACAAAAAATAAAAAGATCAAATGAATAAATAAAAACCTATAAGAACTTATATTATTGAAATACATTACATCTATTTATAATAGCATCTATTAATACTTTTGATCAATCATGGTATGTGAATTTCAAAGCTAACAATTACATATCTCTTTTGAGAGATTTTTTTCAATAACTATATTCCACTCATCATACCAAAATTTATTTTCTTGAGAGATAAAAATTTTCATATGGCTGTAAGCATTGAATTTATTATTTTATAAATAAGATCTAATAAATACATATATATTTCAAATATCTTATATGTTCTAAGATTAAAAAAGAATCTTCTATTAATGGCTTAATTTATTAGATGGAATACTTAAGTATTAAGTTTAATAGTAATATATGTGTTTTTAATACTAAATCATCCTAGACAAGTGAAGTTTATTATTTTTCAATCTTTAGATAAGATAATCTATGTTCTTTTGATGAAGTAATTTTATCATTACTTTCTTTACGTTACATGCATGATAATAACTGTTGCTACCTAATAACCATCTCATCACAGTCTTACTTCTACTCTCACATCACAAAAACCAATCAAGAGTCTAATGTAGATCATTGGCACCAATAATAGCTTGTAGTTATTGATTGGTTACAAACTTGGCTTGCAATTACTAATTCCAAGCCATTGCAAGTTGTAACTCACCACTTTGACCTTCTAGCCAATATATTGGTCCCCTCAATTCAAATAAATACACTCACTTTCCTATCCTTACTTAGAAGTCACAACCAACATTAAATACGTAATCTCCTCTAATGCAAACATTAATTGTTTAGATTTCAATCTACTATAGGATTTGATTGAGGATTTGTTTA